CAGACGTGTTACTTGAAGCTAGACTATTTACTTCACATGCTACTTTGGATATAAGTGATGCATTTACATGTATTCGGCTGGGCCAGTATTTCTCTACGTTGACAGACACCCGAGTCCTACTATCTGATGGTTCTTATTGTACTATGCGATTCCTATCATTACCATATGGGATAAATGTTGCTCCATGGTGTTTGGAAACCTCAGTAAGATATGTCTTACATCTAACCCCTTTAAAGCAACCATCTATGTGCAAAAGCTATATGGACGACATTTTGGTGGCTACTTATGGGCATGCTATTGAAGAATTAGCTATTATTAACGACGCCCTCGGGCACTACGACTTCCTTATATCGTCCCATAAGATCTTCGATATGGACATCCAGCCAACAAGTGATATCTTGGGAGTTACTATTGTCAACAAGCACGGTAAAAAATATATCACTATAAGTAAGCCTAAGAATAATAAATGTAAGTCAGCATTGAGAACTATCCTCAACGAGCCCAGCATTACTTATCAGAATCTGCATTCATTGGTTGGTTGTATCCCTAAGTATCCAGTGTACAATCCTTGGCTGGTGTCCCTCTGCCATGTTGTAATAAGTTGGTCAGTAACATTATAAGATAGGGTAGAAATCGAGATAGCTCAACAGATGAAGATCGTGAGGATAGTACTACGACTTATTGGAAAGTGTCCGAACTAGAAGTTTCGGGATGGTTAGGGGAATATTGTGTCCAAGAGGTTGTTAGTCAAAAGCGTCTACGCTGGTTTGGTCATGCCCTAAGACAGCCCAAAGGTATGATTCAAAGAGACTGGATTGAATCACAAATCGAGACTGATTCTAAGTGGATGAAGTTGGTCAGAAGGGACGTTGAGGATCGTGGTGGAAGATGGAAATATATCCGGCAGACGGTGTTGGCATAAATTTACTATTATTCGTAGCGCGCATGTCCCATAGTTGGATCTAAGCGCTAAATGAATGAATGAATGAGTAGTAGTAAGTAGTAGTAGACTACTACTACTAGTAGTAGTAGTAGTAGTAGT